GGTTCTTATTCACAATAATAAAGTTAGAATTAAAATTATAGAATCTAATTATATATCGACCCGTAATATAATAATAACAATCTTAATGTTTCTTATATGCCGTTCTATAGTAATTTCTATGAAATTCCAATGACTAGAAATTTATAAGTTTTAATTAAATTATACATTTTAAACATCTGGTATAAACTTTAAACATGTTGTTGTGACAAATATCTCAATCACTACAAGTTTTCACTTAATAACAACACAACTATAATTTCAATTATTATTATTCTGTTTAAAAAAATTCAAAAATGATCAGTTCCTTATAAACTAATCTATTGTACAATAACTAATCAATACATTGACTGAAAATTGATACGAAAAAATGATTTTAAATATTAAGTTTATATTAATTGTCTATATTATAGCTTACGGTGAGTGCCAACCAGCGCTACCAGCGATCGATGTCACTAATTGTGAGTTATAATTGCAAACTAAATAAAATAAACTAAAAATTACAACACATTTGACAAAAACAATTATCCAAAGGTCCTAAGAAGCAGTGCTTCGAAGAGTTGGGCTGTTTTTCCAGCCAATCGTTTGTGAAAGAAGTGAAACAAGTGTTAACTTCAGGCGATGCCGTCTCTTCAATCAAGTCGGCCACCGCTCTCAACCAACTTCTATCCATATGTCCCATACATCCCGCAACTATGAACGCCACTCTACTATTATTTACGCCAACATCTACTAAAGTGCAATCGTTTGCCGCGTACAAGACAGATATGGATCAGTTTAAGGCCAGCGCTTACTCGTCGCAAAGACCCACCGCTTTCATAGTACACGGATATACCGATTACTATGAGGAGTGCGATGGCCAGGGAAGGTGCGCCTGGATGGCTGTTAGTCATAGTGATGCCACATTACATTTGAATATCTAGACAGTAACTTTTTCATCCATCTCGCTATTCTCGCAGAACATCAAGAACTATTTTCTATCCCAAAAATACAACGTGATAGCCGTGGACTGGAAATCTCCGGCCTCTGCCATCAATTACTTTGACGCGGCGTTCAATACGCAGATTGTGGGCGCAATCGTCGCCCGATTTATTGAAAAACTGATGGCAACGGCGGCCACCAATCCCTATGATATACATCTGGTGGGTCCCAGTCTCGGGGCACAAGTCTGTGGCTTTATGGGCAAAAGTGTTCAATTGATAACGAATGGTAAGTCAAAAGTTGGACACATCACTGGCTTAGATCCGGCCGGACCTGGATTTACGGGCAAACGACTGGATCCCGGAGACGCCAATCTGGTCACTGTTATTCACACCAGCGCTGGTCTCACCAAGAACAGTTTGTGTTTATTATAAAATTATGTTTTATTAATTATTAAATGAACGGATATATAGTTAATCGGTTAATATAGCTAATCCGGGCGAAAACCCTCTGGAATCGGTTCAATTGTTTGGTTTCCTGGGCCATAGCGATGCATTGGCTCACTTTGACTTCTGACCAAACGGGGGTTTGCTTTTACATTATATGATATAATGTATGATATAATTTATATCATACATTCATTTATATTGATATTGAAAACATATTAAATGGTGTCAATTGTGTTAATTTATACCAATAACTGTGTACTTGTAGGCAGTGGTCAGCGCGGCTGCGAAAAAATATCGGCCGAGTTGGCCAAAGAGATGGGGACCTCAGGATTCAATGGTAAGACAAAGATTACCAAAATTCATTAATATTTGCGATTATTAATAGTATGGTTGCCGTAAACAAAGCGTTGGCTAGTGTGACCAACCGTACACTTTTGAAGTGTACAGTACACTATTTGAGACTTCTGTACACTAATTTCAGACTGTACACTATTGTACACTTTTGGAAAATATTTCTATCAA